TATTCAAACGTGGTTCAAGATTTCTTGGAAGATCTTGCTTTAACAAAAGCATAATAAAAAGGGAAGGCTTCAAGTGGGAACGAACGTGGAGGAATCAAAACAGTGATGTGAAGAAAGAGATGAAGGAGAGATGAAGGATAGAGAAGAGAGAGAGGAGAGAGAGAGAGAGAGAGAGAGAGAGAGAGAGAGAGAGAGAGAGAGAGAGAGAGAGAGAGAGAGAGAGTCACAGTAGAAACACAAGAGAGAAAAGATAAGAGAGACACAGTGAGCCAGACTAAGAAAAGCATATAGATTATAAGAAAGAGAAACAGAGAAAAGAATAAAAGCAAAAAAGAGACGGAGAGACAAGGAAAGACAAGTAGAAAACGGTTGTCAGATTTTCCACAGACTCTTTCGCTTTGATAATCTCTGCACTTTCTAATCCGAATAAAAATAGTGAAGGTTAGTAAATCGTGTGTGTTTATGAAATGGATCTTGCTCTAAAACAACAGTGTGGCCTCAAAAAAGATATTCTGAAGAAACTCTATTAAAACATAACGAGAATAAACGTACAGAATTATAAATTCAGTGTGGGCGTGAGGAGCGAGAGAGAGAAGGAGAGCCGAGAGAGAGAGAGAGAGGGGGGGGGAAGAAAAGAAGAGAGAGAGAGAGATATAAGGAAAGAGATAAAGATATTAATATTGTTAACATCTATTTCGCCAATAGACTTACACAATTTGACAAAACTTGTTTATCACCAGTTATTCACCAAGTCATAACCAGCATGAATTTCCCCTGGCAAAAGTGTTCAATGGAAAGGGCTTATCATGATTAAATGTTATGGATGCATTTTGTCAGTATTTAATGTTTAATTTGTTTGAAAATATTTCCATTTACTGACCGTGCTATAAGCTCTCAGTGATCCTCTAATGAGCTCATTAATTATCTTGGCGGAAAAGTTAATGTCATTAGCATACAGGGTGTAAAGACACGCCCATTTCTAGTTAGAAATTATGAATGAAACAAGCAGTTAAAATCATCGGCAACAACATAATGAGTGGTTTATCAAAATTGATAATTTACGAGTGGAGGGAAAAAATGGAAAAAAATACATCGTTCAGTTTCGCAAATTCACTACACGCTTTTCATATACTCGAGTTCACAAGCGAGATTCCGTATGTATGCACGTATGTATGGCTGGATGTATTTATGGATGTATGTATGTATAGATAAATAGACAGAGGAGTAGATAGGCAGATAGATCGATAGACATGTAGATGTGTGTGTGTGTGTAGACAGAAAGAGGTTGATATAACTTACTGATATGACAAGAATGATGTGGATTAAGTGGTATTTCATCACTGATAAGTTAATAAGTTAATATTTTGGGAAAGCTTCGCGATTTCGGGAAGTAGTGGTAACCCATTTTATCATCACCTTCATCTTGATCTCATTCATTATCACAATCATGATTGTCATTACTATCACTATCATTATTATTTGCGATCCTAAAATGCACAATAAGCCAGAAAACAAAACCTTGTAAAACACAAATTTTGCTCATCGTGTTTTTAAATGTGTTATGAAGTTCTGGGTGTCATTATCTTTATTTGTTTTTCTTCTTCTTCTTTTTTAAGGAATGAGTCCCCTATTAATATTGCGTTATGTCCGTAGTGAGCACTAATATTTGCTATTAGCTTTGTTATAATGCATTGTTACCGATCACTCGCAATTTACAGTAAAAATATTATTTAATCATTGTTATAATGTCTAATATTTTTCGTTATAGCAATCCCGAGTGGTATATTGTTACTAGCATTGCTGTAAAATCAATATCACTGATGATCAACATTATCAATGCATGCATCAATATTGCTTCAGTACCTCTCTCCCTCTTCCCATCACCATTATTTAAAATGTTAATCGTATATTACGAGATAAAATCGTAGAGATGTGCACATGGCATCCACGCGAGACATCATGCAATAACAAAACAGGTATCGTTTAGACATTATTAAATGGCAGCAGTTATGTGTGATTTTTTTTACCCTCTGTTTATCTTTGTCTCTGTCTTTTTGCTTTTCGCTCGATTTCTCTGACTCTCGTTGCCTTCCTCTTAAACTTTAAACAGGAAAGGAACGACGTGACGTCCGCCCATTCCCCCTCGTTGCGCTCATGCGGTTCCCCACCCTCCCTTGCCTGCACTGGCCACCCTCCTCCTTACCCCCAAACCGTCCTTCTCCTCTTCAACTCCCTCCCTTCCTCATTCCCCACCTCCTGCCTCCCCTTTCCTTCACACCCCTACCCTTCTCCATGCCTTCCCAACGTCCCTCCCCTTGCGCTCACCCGTAGACAGTAGCCCCCCCTCCCTCCTCCATCTCATCGCAACTTCTCC